TTATTTCCGGCAATAAAGTTTTTTTTTTCCAATTTGTCTCAATTCGTCTCGCCGGATATTTTTTTTTTTAATTACGATTGGATAATTTTATTATTTTTATTTTTTTGAAAAAATCACATTTTATCTAATATCACTTTGTTCTTATCAATGCAATAAAAAAATAAAAAATCAACCACTGTCACATATTTACTAACAAAAATTCGTTATTTATACACTCACATCTTTTAGCTATCAATCATTTGTATTTTTTATTTTAATATTATTCACATCTAAAAAATATTTTATTATTTAATAAACTATAATTTTCTTTTATTGTTAACCCACCTTATTCATTTATAAATATATTTTTTAAAATAATATATATCGCGTCAACTTGTACTCACGTTTTATGTTTTATGCATATACAATTTCAATTCAAATTCAATTTATAATCAATTTATGTGTGGACACCATTAATGCAAAATTTGATTTCAAATGCCTATGGGTGTGATTGGATATGAATTCATCAAAAATTCTATAGAGCAATCGGCTAGTTTTCTTATGGAGTCATCAATCACTTAATGTATTGACACATGTCCAAAGTGTATTTATTATAGGACACGTGTCAATATACTATTTGTGAATAACTGTGGATGACTCCATAAGTCGAGCCATTCGATGGCTCCATAGCAAAATTGATGAATTCATACCAAAAAACTAATCAAAACACAAATTTAACTCAACTTTAACCAAACTTCACTATCATCAGTATTATCAGTATAATTAAATAATAGCAACCAATAATTCTTATACACCACATCAACTTTAATTCACTATTAATTCACTCACATATTTTTAACTAAATATCACTTCACACAATCTCTCCCGTACTTTACATCAAATCAACTCTAATTATTTAATTTTAAATATTATTTAAATTTGAATTTAAATTCTCACTAACAACTAACCATACCACATTTATTTTAAAATTAACTATGATTAACGAATAAACCATTAAAAAACCAGTCAAATTCATATCTGATCACAAGTTATAATTCTCTCAAGTCATACTCAACAACTATGGAGCATAGCAACCAATCCAGAGCTTTTGGTGAGCAAAATAATGAGACAAATTCTTTCCAACCAGTCAATCTTTGATTGAAAGTAAAAACCTAATACCTCATGGCTATGGAATTGTTGGTTGGGAGTGGTGCCTCAACACCAGAGGGGATTAAGGATTGTAATAAAAAAATGAAAGAGCTACAAGGATCAAAGACTGGAATTGGATGAGAGGGATCTCCAGTTGTGAAGGCTGAAGGAAGAGAAAATGCAATATGTTTGGCTGATCTGATAGTAGAAGATGGCAACAGTTGGGATGAGGGAGTGTTGAGAGAATATTTCAATGAGGCTGATTGTGAGAAAGTCTTGGGTATAACAACTCTAGGCTCAGCGGCTGAGAACAAGTGGGTGTGGAGCTTTGGTACTAACTGTGGCAACTGCTTATGCTAGACTAATAGCTGAAAAAGTTCATATGATGGATAGGGCTGAGCATAGCCTAACTGCTCAAAGAAACATGAGTGCCAGAGTGAGATGCTGGAAATTGAAGGTCCAAGACAAAGTGAAACATTTCATCTAGCTTGAAATATTTCTCATGTGTGTTGCATGTGCTTTGCAATGTTGCTAGAAGAGGAGTAGATGTTAGATGCAGAGGCTGTGGAGAAGAAGATGAAATTGGGGAGCGTATCATATTCAACTGCAAGAGAGCAAGGAAGGTCTTGGAATTAGCACTGTCCATTGGGAGAAACAACCTGCAAGACCTGGGGAATTCAAACTACTTTACATTTTGAAGAAAAAAAAAAGGTCGGCAAGCAAAACAAATATTAGCAAATTATTACACTTTAATATTTGCATTATTGCGATTTTCTACATATCAAGCATGCATTATTTGCATTGAACTCTAGAAGTGATTAGTCCACAATCACAAATTCATAGATGAGTCATTCCGTCATATTATCTTAATAAAAATATATATTTATATTAAAAAATATTTTTTATTTATCTTATTTTTAAGAATATGTAATTTTAATTTGACAGTATGTGTTTCGTTCAGTTCAATCGTATCAATGAATGCGCTGCAGTCACCAAATTTATACGAATACACATATTTATACATATGTGTACTAATCAAACGATAAAAAAATCTCGGTGGTGGGATGAATTTTTTCTTTTCAAAATTTCCTTTTCAATTTATTTACTTTTTTATTTGACTCAATCCGATTGTCAGTTTCCGTAATCACGCAAATATATTTAAGAAGAAAAAAAAAAGAGAGAGAGAGAATCTTATTCATTACAAAAAGTCAGCACAACATGTTTAACGTGCCCATCATCACCAAAATTAGAAAAAGACCTTTTTATAGTACTCTTCTGCTCTCAATTCCTGGAATTTCTGTTTCATTTTTGTCTATCCTCAAAAATCCATAGCACACACACAATGTACAATGTACATATGTAATGTGTCTTCACATGGGTTTTATTTGTGTATTAGTATGTGATGGACTTAGCTGAGTAGTTGCCATTAGTACTTTGTTGTTGTTGGTGTTGTGTGTCTAGGCCATATGATGTATATGGTGTTCTCTTTCCACTCCAGTTGTATTAGGGAACTTCCTATTTTTTATGTTGAATGAGATCTTCCATCATTTGAGAAAAAATAAATAAATCCTCCCTATATATAATTACAGAATGCGCTGAGCCTACGTGGCTGTTTCTGGTGCTTCGGAATCCTATTTGGCGAAGAATCATGCTTCGTAATTAGGTTTGGACAAGTAATATCCTCCCTATATATAATTACAGAATGCGCTGAGCCTACGTGGCTGTTTCTGGTGCTTCGGAATCCTATTTGGCGAAGAATCATGCTTCGTAATTAGGTTTGGACAAGTAATATTAATATATTAATAATTAATAATCTAGGTTCGGGTATTCCATAAATATTATTTAGCTAACTTAGGTATTTTAATATCACTTTTACTAATATAACCCTTTAATTATTTGTAATTTTACATAGTGAGACACTAAGTGACTAATATATCCCTAAATTTTGATTTGCTTCCTTCAATAAGCTATTGAATTATAAATGTATTTTAAAAGTAGATAACTTTTGTATTTCTTATCGGTTTTACATATATAATATATCAAATTAATCATCTTTTGATGATCTTCGATTTGACATCCATATTGTATATATAAAATAAATAAATTATGTTTACCTTTATAATAATAAAAAATAATAATATTTATTAAAATTCGTTAGAAAAATAAAATTATCTCTCAATTGATATATTTATATTTAGTGTAGTTATATAGTGTAAGTTAAAAAATTAGTATAATATAACACAAGTAAGTCGCACAAATAAAAAATATCATAATATATATATATATATATATTCTTATAAAAAGTACTTAAATTTTCAAACTACTTTTTCTCATTAATTTTAAATTTAAAAAAAAAATTAGCAAACACCCGTGTAATACACGGGTGTTATACTAGTAAATAAATACTACAAGATTTCACACATTTCATTTTGATACATTAATGCATCAAGATGACCATATATTAATTTGCCTTATTAGTCGGTGATAATACATGAATTACCTCGTTGAGACTTCGGTAAATTATAGTTCACATATTAAATTTTATTTCCACGTTTAAATTTCATGATTAAAGTTGGATCTTTACTTTTAATATAAAATTGAATTTTTACAGTTTTCAAACTACATTTTACGAAATCACGTCTGTTTAACATATTCATATATTAACAAAAAAAATATATATATATATATTTTTTGAAAAAAAAAATATATTTTAACCATACAACTTGAATTCGAAGCTCAAGCTCGCTTTCGAACACCTTTTTTTGGTACAGGGACCTCCAGTTTCCGGATCCACAGGGGAATCGACAAATTCGGAATCGAGCCGGGTAGAACCACAAGGGCGGCAAAGCTCTCCCTCAAGAGTTTTAACAGTGTTACATTTTCAGGGCTCGAACTCGAGACCACTGGTTAAGCTGGAAGAGACTCAAGCCATCTTATCCAAAAGCTCTTAGGTACTTTCGAACACCTTTAAATCTTAAACATCGAGCACGTTTGACTTCTGACTCCGCCATGTCAGCTCATTCCCAGGTAAGCTAAAGGCCGTTCGACATTTTAAACCCCGATCTGCCGATCATTATCCCAACTGAAGCCCAAACCCGAGCCTCCGGCTCCGTGCCCTCTTCCCCCATAAGATACCACACCGAGCCTCATTTCGAGCCTAGCTACTATATATACTTTGCGCTTGGTACTTCACACAGAGCCTCAGGCTCGGATCCATACGTGACCTCTTCTTCACCATCTGTTTCGGGCTTTCCCTTGCCGATCTCTCTCCATCTCTCTCAGCTTCACTCTTTCAGTTAAGCTTCGTTTAAGCTTCTTCAATGGAATTGCCGAATTGTTATTGTCTTTATGCTGTATTTCATCTGTTTCATTGTGAATTTTACGAATTTTTGAATAACTTGATGCAAAAAAGCTGAAAAAATTGTCGACAATGAGTGTACCTTCGCGTGCATGTTTTTAACTCTTTTTGTGATCTCTGTGACGAATTTTGATAAGAGCTCCGCGGTCTGTGTTCGAAATTGCTGATCTAAGGGAAAAATTCGGTTGTACTGTGAAGAATTTAAGCAATCGTTGATGAATTGACAGACTCGAAGACGAACTCGGGATTTTTTTTTTATTTGCTTTTTTTTTTTATTTTTTTTTTNTTTTTTTTTTTTTGCTCGTGAACTTTGGTTGGATGTGTGTGGATCGTTTATGTGTAGGTTGATCTATCCAATTTGGTGTATTAACCTTATGATTTAGATATTCATGCCACTGTTTGTTTGCTTGCTGTTTTAGTCGAGTAATTTTCCGAGAAATTCATATGTTTTGATGGATTGATTTCAGAGGAGGGAAGAGACTGAACGGAGTAGATTCTTTTTGGAGCGACAATCATGGCGCAGAGTAATTGGGAAGCAGATAAGATGTATAGATTCTTGACTGTTTATTTCATGGTGTTTTTGGTTGTTGTTTTGTTGGCGAATTTAGGTGTGCTATAATTAAGTCAACGTGTTCTGCAACATAGAAAGCTTTATTAGATTGTTGCACAACAAAGCATCTACTGCGTAGTCTTGTCTCGACTGGCGTAAACATCTTGTTTTCTGCGGTTTTGCTATGAAGCCAATAGTTGGCTTCATAGTGGAGCTAACCTTCTATATACAACAAGTAAACCTACCATATTCTCTGATTACTTAAATAACATTAATATAATTTTATTGATATGGTAGGTTTATTTGTTGTATATAGAAGGTTGGCCTCACTATGAAGCCAATTGTTGGCTTCATAGCAAAACCGTGTTTTCTGTTACTGTAGAAGATTGGTTTGTTTGTTGTTGTTATTATTACAACTATTTCATGTGCAGACATAGTTTTCAGTTTCTATTATTATTCGTATTGATTGCTGCTTATGTAGATTTATGCTTCTGATCCTTTTCCAGGCTTGACGTCTACATTCATGATTATTTGTTGAAAAGAAAATTGCATAATTCTGCGAAGGCCTTCATGGCGGAGGGAAAAGTGGCTAGTGATCCTGTGGGTAAGAGTTTTGTTTTATAGCATGATTGAGTTGAATGGAGTGCTGGTGTGTTGTTCAGTGAAAATAGATTTGTTTATTCCAGTTAAAAAAAAAATAAAAAAATTGATATCCTGGATCATAGCCCATTCACTTACAAAATTGAATTATGTTTGTAGCTATTGATGCGCCTGGAGGATTTCTGTTTGAATGGTGGTCCGTGTTCTGGGACATTTTCATTGCACGGACAAACGAGAAGCATTCTGAGGCTGCTGCAGCCTACATAGAGGTTCTCAAGATCTGTAGTTAGATTGATATATAGCTACTATTTATAATGAGCGCACATGTTGACAAATTTTTCCGTGTTTTCGACTTGAACTCAGACGCAACAATTTAAAGCAAGGGAGCAGCAGCAGCTACAATTCCAACAGTTGCAACTCATGCATCAACGCAATGGCCAGTTGCAGAGGAGGGATCCGAACCATCCTCCATTGGGTCCGATCAACTCAATGAATTCTGAAGGAATGGGCGGGCAGCAATCTGCAAGTGTTTTACCTATGAAAATGTACGAAGGACATGTGAAGCACCCGAATCCCATTGACTCAGAAACATCTGCAGGCCTGATGGATGCTAATAGGATGGCACTGCTCAAGTCAGCTTCCAGTCAACAAGGGTAAGATTGGTATGGTCTTACTGTATTCATTGTTTAAGATGTTAAATTGCAATAATTATGGTTCAGTGAATCATCTGTTTATTTTATTTCCTCTCTACCTGTGGTTTATTCAGACAGATGCTTCAAGGAAGTTCTGGTGGTATGTCTGTAGCATTGCAGCAAATGCCAGGACGGCCCCAGCTAGCCACTGTACTTACTGAAATCAGTTTCTCTTGCTCATTTGTTTAACTGCTTTAACTTTCTCATTGAGCTCAACTTTTTTCTTTTGAAACAAAATAAAAAAATAAAAATTCCAGGACATCAAACAAGAAGTTAACTTGGGTGGACCTCAGAAATCTTTGCCGATGGACCCATCATCTATATATGGGCAGGTTCTTCAGTCAAAATCTGGTCTTGGGGGTGCAGGTATAACACCAATATCTCCAAAACCCTTTCTATTTTTGTTGAATACCTCCCTATATTTGTGCTTCTTGCATGTTTGTATCCATGTACATCCTTGTAGTACTAAATCTAGTTTTGTTATGTTATATATTTAAGTTCTATTACTGTTGCTGCAACAATTCTGAATATAAGCGCAAAGACCTTTGAGTTACATGATTCATTTGTCTTACTCAGTTCCTTTTAAGAGCCTAAGTTGGAAATGGCTAAAAGGTGTAAGAGATGATAACTCCTAAATTTTGATTATGTTCAGCACTTGACTTCTCTTGGTCACCTTTCATAATTGATAATAGAGAGCAGAGTTACTAATTGACGGGCAGAATATCGTGTCTCCTAGTGAATGTGGGATCTTTTGATAAAGGGGCTTTGTCTCATTGTCGGTCATGAACTTCATTATTTAGTTTGCAGAAGCACCCAGCATTAGAGCTTTAGTACCAAACTTGAATGAAAATTGATTTTCTCTCTAAATATGGGGATGGTAATATTTTGGTTATTATAGTGTATGTGACTTCATGGTATCATATTTTTTGTCATTCAGGGTTTAGTCAAGGAGTAACTAGTCTACCGTTGAATGGCTGGCCGTTAACAGTGAGTTTCTTATAGCTGTCACATTCTTTTAAGGAAGTATCTGGTGTGTATGGGGCTATATAATTGAAAAATGGTAAACCATATCCATATTATTCAGGGAATTGACCAATTGAGGCCGAGTTTGGGTTTACAAGTACAGAAGCCCAATCTGCAGACTCAAAACCAGTTCTTATTGGCATCGCAGCAGCAGAACTATGGGTTTGGAGGATTACCAAGGAGTAATTTTAATGCCCAAGATGGTCAGCCACCCAGAAATGATGGATCCATTTGCTCTCCTGCGCAATCAAATTCATCAAAGGTTAATAATGTCAATGAAATCTTAAAACAAATAATGTGTGTGTATTTAAATTCCGTGAATGAATTTGAAACAAATAATGTTTGTGTATTTAAAATTCATGTTTGGAAGTCAACACGACTCATTGATCACTGTAGTCATTCATGAAGCATGCTATATGAATTGCACTTCTCGTTCTATCGTGGCAATTGAAGATTTTTTTGTGTCCTGTATTTAATAACTTGTCATTTGATAGGAATATAAATATATAAATTGTAACTTTACATGCCATTATCATTTTAGGTGACACAATAAGTTTTTAATTATCAGTACTTGTACTGATGAAAGGTTAAATGTAATTGCTTCAGCTTCATGATAAAATTCTTTGGATACATTTGCAAAATGTATCTTGGAAATAAAAGCATCTCATTGAGATGAACTTTCATGTTTGCTTCCTTTGGACCTATGTTTTTGTAACTTTGAGCAGATGAAGATGCCCCAAATGCCGCAGGCTCCTCCTCAACAACAGGATCAGTTACAGCAGCAGCAGCAGCAGCAACAACATTTGCAGCAGGTGAGAGTCGCTTGTGCAGTTATATCCATTGGTTGGTTCAGCCAAATCGGAACATTTTTTCTGTTGATTTCACTATTGCTCAAGTCTAAAAGCATCCATCAGTAATATACTGTTTTCACCTTAAAGAATTAACACAGTCCTTTGACCTGGAACAGAACAACAGGAAAAGAAAACAACATTCGTCATCAGGCCCTGCTAACAGTACAGGTACGGGAAATACGGTAGGACCTTCCCCTGGCTCACCCCAATCAACACATACACCTGGTGATGGGATGGCCACTGCTAGCAGCATGCAGCATGCTAACAGCATCTCCAAGAGTGTGATGATGTATGATGCAGAAGGAGCTGGTGGAATTGCATCATCTACAAATCAGCTTGTAAGATTGTGTTCTTAAAGGGTTAATTTTATGTATTTTCATTGTCTAGAAGTATAATCTTCTAAACACATCTTTCAGAACATCTTAATTTGCAAATTATAAACTGCAAAGACTTTTACTTTTCGAAACATTTATATTTGCAAAATTACCTTTTGACAAAAAAAAAAAAAATGTTTCTCATAAAACTTATGTGCATTAGTCTGTACTAGAGATTGTGAATTCTGAGTGTAATTGCCTTGAAACCCTGTAGTTATGCCCTTCATACAGGATGGTTCTTTTGAAGACAATGTTGATTCTTTTTTGTTGCCTGATGGGGGAGATGGAAATCCATATGGCTCTTTCAAACAAACTCTTAATGAGCAAAAAACTGAGCCTTCAAAAGGTAGTCTTTTTATAATGTTTATACATGCTTATGTCTTCTTCAATTAGAACAGGCCTTATAGCAAAAAGTCTGAATTTGGAATGTTATGTCTGACTTACAGGTTTCTCATTTGGAGAAGTTGGTTGTATTCGGACGAGACATAAGGTGACTTGTTGCCACTTTTCTTCCAATGGGAAGCTGTTAGCTAGTGCTGGGCATGATAAAAAGGTACTCAGTCAGGTCTAGTGGTTTTACAACATAATGGATACACTAACACCATGCTTCTGCTGAATTAACTTTTAATAATCAATTTAATAAAAAAACCTCCTATTATGCCATCAGCCTATCACTACATTTTCCTACGTTTCTTACTTATAATACAATGTTATTGTTGTTTTCTATCTTGATTAGGCTGTTCTGTGGAACATGAACAATATGCAAACCGAAACCACACCTGAAGAACATCAGTACCTGATTACGGATGTGCGCTTCCGGCCGAACTCAACTCAACTTGCTACGGCCTCATTTGATAAGTCTGTCAGATTATGGGATGCAGCTAATGTAATGATTCCACATCCATTTTTCTTTCACAAAAGTTTTCCACTTTGACTGTTTAGGAAAAGCTCTCAAAGGTGTTTCTAGTGGTGCTCTGAAAAGAACTAGCTCCTGAGTCTAGAATCTTTCCCGACTGATACAGTTTTTACTTTTGAGACAATCTTTCAGTTTGAAACTATTTTGTTCCATGCTTTTGAAAATATATTATGATGGGTTTGGCAGTTATCATCACATTGAATGTGTACATTATAAACTTTACTCGTTTGGTTATCTGAAATGTTTATCTCGGTCCATTGCCAATATGGCGTCATCTTCTATGTGCACAATATTAGTCCCTATTTTCCTTTGACTTGTTTTTTGCAGTCTGCTGTAAATCCATATTAAAGTAAAAGGTGCTTACTCAATTAATACTTTGAAATGCAGCCAAGCTATTGTCTGCATGCTTACAAAGGGCATTCTTCCCACGTGATGTCTCTCGATTTCCATCCTAAGAAGACTGATCTCTTCTGTTTCTGTGATAGTAGCAATGAAATTCACTATTGGAGCATTAGCCCATTTTCGTGCACCCGGGTTTCCAAGGTTGGATATCTTACATAGATCTTTGATCTCTATCATTTCATAAATCTTCCTCCCTAGTGCTCTCTGTTTTTCTGAACTCAAAACATCTCAATTGCATGGCGTAGCAAGGAGGAAGTGCACAGGTGAGATTTCAACCTACAAATGGACACCTACTAGCAGCAGCATCGGACAAGGTGGTCTCTATATTCGATGTTGAGAACGACAGACAGACCCATTCCTTTCAGGTGTGTAATTTAGCCACTTATCCGCTTTGCTTCTTATAATTGATTCCTTGCTCGTTCATTTGATTTTGGTAACTTCTGTTATATTGAGTTTTCATGGTTTGTTAGGGACACTCTGGCGTGGTGAACTACCTGTGCTGGGATCTTAGCGGTGAACTCTTGGCCTCTGTAAGTGAGGACAGTATCAGAGTTTGGTCATTGGCCTCCGGAGAGTACATCCATGAGCTCAACGCCAATGGCAACCAATTCCATTCCTGTGTTTTTCATCCAAGTTATTCTGCTCTTTTGGTGATTGGAGGCTCGCGGGTAAAATACTTTTCCTTATCTCTCACCCGTATATTTTTCTAAGCATAACGATCTCTTGTATTCAGTTTCTTATGGAAATAGTATAAAAAGAACTAAAGAATAATAAACAAGGAAAGAAGACCACCACAAATGGCTAATCACTAAAGAATCCTGTTATCTTTCAATTGTTAATATAAATACCCTTGACGTGTTACGTAATAGGATGTAAAAGAGCTGAACCGACCCAAACTTTGGAGAGTTCGGTTTTGGTTCGTTCTTAATGAGCTGAACCTAATCTCAATTTTAGAACATATGATGGATTACTATCTCTTTTTGAACCTAATAATCAAGCCTAACGAGCCATTGGTGATATTAACTATAGATTTATTTTTTAGTTTATCGCCAAAATGGTACAGACTATTTTATAAGAGTCTCAATTAAGGTTGAAATATTAATTCAAGTTATGTGAGATTTATTGAGCCGATGCACTGAGGAACTGAATACCTTTAAGCTCGACTTGATTCATTTATCTTAACGAGCCTTATTACACAAGCCCAAATGAGCTTTTATTGCGTCGAGTTCCAAATAGTTCGTGAGAGGCTTGGTTCACTTACAACCCTAACTAGCATATATACCATTGCGTTTTTTGTTCATTTTACAGCTCTCGAGTTGGTATAGAAACAGGAATTTGAGCCGAAGATACTATAATTTTGCTAGACTCTCTCTCTCTCTCTCATAAAATAGTATTAATCAAATTTAAACTTATCAATCTCTCTCTCTCTCTCTCTCTATACCTCTCTCTCCCCCCTTTCTCTCTCTAAACTCTTTTTTTCAATACCTTAACAATATGCAGTCTCTAGAGCTTTGGAACATGGTCGAGAACAAAAGCATGACGGTCCCCGGTCCTGCGCATGATAACATAGTTGCCGCCTTGGCAGTGTCACCTCTGACTGGGATGGTCGCCTCTGCCAGCCACGACAGCTCGGTCAAGCTCTGGAAATAAATCTCACAACTTTGCCGGATCTGAATTGTCAATTCTACGTGTTGGAAAAAAAAAAAAAAAAAGAAGGAAAAGAGAAGTTCACCGAAATGCTTCTGTGTCTTTGTAAGAAACGCGAATTTTAGTGCAGGTACAAATGTGTATTTGGGATTCCGGGCCAGGTTGACCGAGCCGAAATGCATACGGTATTGTATAATAACATTATTTATTTCTTATCCTTAGGCAGGCATATAACCCCCTTTGTGAGAGGATGAGTTTGTACGTAGCAGTTAAACACCTGGTGATAATTGTGAGAGCCGAAAGAGAAGCTCGGCGTGTATTATCTTTAAAATCCTTGAGGACTGAAGACTAATCTGCTTTGTTAGTACATTAGCTACCTTTCTTTGTTTTACCGTCAAGTGAGAATATTTTGTAGAGTTTTCCTTCACGTTTCGCTTGTATACTTTATATTCGATTTTGAGAAGTAAAAATGTGAACCGAATTATCAATTTCCTCATGTTCTGCTTTTTCCTTTTTTCTTTTTTTTTTTAATTTGGAAAATATCTAGTCCTATGAGACTTTGGATTGTTTAATGTTGTAGCTATTATAGTCCCAAGATTTCAATTTTTTGTCTTTTGATCTTGTAATTTAGTATTTTGCTGCAATTTCAGTCTTTACTAAAATTGAAACATAATTTAAAATTACAGGACTTAAATTGTTAATCAAAATTACATCCAAAAGTTTTTTCACTAGTAATTTAAGTCTTGTAGTCTTATATTTTGTTGTATTTTCAGAACATAAAACTAAAAACGCTACTAGATCAAACCGTACTAAAATTGTAATTTTGTCTAAAAAAAAATTGTCTTATTACAAACAAAATAATAGTAAATTTAAATAATGTGGCATGCAGCCAGAATAATACGAATCTAAATATATATCTTGACTAGGTATAAACGACAATACAACTGTGTCTTATGTCTAAGTATATATAATGTTTTCCAACTAAAGGTATAAATTGACTAGGTAACAACCATAATACAACTTGTCTTATTTCTAAGTGTATACAAGGTTTTCTAGAAAAACCTGGTTCTAATACTTTCTTATAATATATAAAAAAAAAATTACAACATTGACTTTATCATAAGCCTTGATTTCTTCACTAATGCCCCCTTTTTTTATTAAAACAAAAATTAATGCACAACCATTGTTTCGTGACCCAGATCGGACCGGCGGGTCGATTCGGAGTCGAAATCGGTCCGAGTGGGTTATTTGGACCGGGTAACAATGGACCCGGTTAAAATCGGTCAAAACCCGACTTGACCCGGTCGACCCGAGTCATTGACCAGTCTCTATAAATTTTTATTTTATTTTTTTTAATACTTTTTTTTATATAAAACCTATGTTTATATAATGACATAGTAAATATTTATTGTGAGATTCAATATTACTAACACTTAAATATACAAATCTGGTATACAAAACATTTATTTTTGTTACTTTTATGTATATTTATATGTCAAAAATACTATATATATAATTTTAAAAATTTTAAAATTAACTATCCGATTCAGCAATTGACCCAGTGACCCCGATTACCTGAAGACCTGCCCGAATCGATTTCTGGGTCGAGTTTAAAAACTATGTGCACAACAAATTAATAGTTATAAAATAACTATTAAATAAAAGAAAATACTAAATTAAAAGTAACAACAAATTAACGTGGTTCTTATACTTGAACAGTTGAGCCCAATAAATACACACCGTATCTGAGCTCAATTTTGGCCCAAGAATTCCTCAACTGGTGGCCCATCTGATCTCTTTTTTCTCTTCCTTAGTTATATTCTCCATGTGCATCCAGAAAGGGGAAAAATGGAAGTTTCAGACAAAATCAAAATGATGATGGAGAAATATTCCAGTGAAGATAGTGATGATCAATCCGAGAATTTTCTTGAAGCTTTCGTTTGCTGTATTTGCCGGTAATTTTTATTTTGCGTCTCATGATTAGCGATTATGCACATAATTTGTACCTTTGTTCATGCTATGAGAAATTAAAGGCCGATTATGGCGTGTTGAATCCAAGGTCAATTGGCATGTCAACAGTATTGTTGTTCATCAGTTGTTTATGCCTGAAAGAAAAATGTATGCACGAGCTCTTTTCATGGTTATTGTGCCTTTTTCATGGCTTACAGGCTTAGTGATTCACCTGTCTGCGTGAATTAGAACAGAATATATCTGCACAAGAGCGATGCCTGTGACTATGGTCTTCTCTTCTTGTTGTTTATGCTAGTTGATCACGTCGTTTAACAGAGTTATGGATTTTGAAGTAGATATCGTTCTTTGATTGTGGTTATTTTGTTGTAGAAGAAACTTTCCTTGATTGTTACATGTACTTGTGTTATCTTTATGGTTGCTTTAGCTTGGTGGTTGGTGCTTTTGCTTCTTGGTGATTCACTGATTATAGACGTTCACACGCCTTTCGAGTTGGTTTTGCAAGTGTTGAAGTTGTTTTGTTTCATTTCATTTTCTTTTTATTTCAGTATTTAGTATTCACTCAACCCGACTTTTGTTATTCATTGGCAAGTAAGATTTTATGTGATGTTTCTTTTCTTTTTTTTGGGGCAGTGATCTCCTTTACAAGCCGGTTGTTCTGGGTAAGATTTCAATTCATATTGGTTACAACATTCATTACATGACCTCTATGAGTAATTTGCTCTGCTCTAAATGGTGCAGCTTGTGGACACATCTCGTGTTTCTGGTGTGTTCATAAATCCATGAATGGCCTGTACGAGTCCCGTTGTCCAATATGCAGAAACCACTATTATCATTTTCCTTATGTATGTCAGATTCTTCACCTGCTGCTGCTGAAAATGTATCCGGTTGCCTATAAGAGAAGGGAGAACCAAACTTTAGGTCAGGTTATCTGTACTATATTTTTTTTATGGTAACTGGTTAGCATTTATTTCGCGTCCAAAGGTCTGTCTTTTAACATTACATCTATATATGCACATTCCAGATGAGGAGAAGGACATGGGTTATTCCTCGCCTCAAATCAATGGTCCTGCTCACGAGTTACAACATGAGGAGGTGGCCATAAAGCCTTGTGGTGCAACAGTAGCTGTCCAATCGGGTTCATTTAATGCAGATACTGGCTTGAAAAATTTGTCGGACTTAAGAAATGATATTGCAGCAGTTAGCGATGCCACTGCTGAAAAAAGAAACTCAAACCTTATACATGGCAATGGAATTTGCAATAAGGTTTCAGTTGATGATGTTTTATGCGGTTCTTGTAAGCACATGCTTGCCCGGCCAATAGTTCTTAACTGTGGTCATGGTATGATACATCGGTTGCCAAAACTTTCTTGTGAATTTAATTTGAACTTTTTAGAGGATTAGTATACCCGTATTTTTCAACTAAGAATATATATGCATTGCTCCCCAACCTATATATTCAGCCTTTTGTGCCTGCTGCATTGTTCTGCAAACGAATGAGTTGCTTGAGTGTGGAGTTTGTCAGAGTCTGCATCCAGGGGACACTCCAAAAGTATGCTTGGAGTTTGATCATTTTCTGGAGGAGCAATTTCCAAAAGAATACGCGCTGAGAAGAGAGACTTTACAGTTGAAACAAGAGCGGTTACCGAGTGATACTCCTAGTAAATGTAAGTTCTTTCGTGTGTGTGTTTGTTTGTTTGTTGTAATATGCAGCGATTGTTGTATCATTGCTAATCTTTTGACAAAGTTGTTTGCACGGCGTATACTATGCCTTTGTCTTTTTAACTTAAATTCAAAGAAGCAGAAAGATTTTTTTTTTCTTTTTTGTTTTCCTGATTGGACTTATTGTCAGAATATGAATCTCGGGTTATATTTGGTGAGTGCTGTTTGAGATGTTCTCACTAATAGTAACGGGCCTAATGGCTTATTCTGATACTTGCCTGTCGTATCTAATTCTAACACTTTGGTTATCAGGCTCATCAAAAGCTGCTAAGGAAAGTTCCCACTTTTCGTTCTCTTCTGGAGAGGATCCTTTACCATTGCGGAATGCTAGCTCAAATGTCCATATTGGAGTTGGCTGTGATTCTTGTGGGGTAAGCGTAACTTGGTACTATTGAGTTCCCAACGTTTTAATGGTTAAACCTTTTTGAATAATGTGAACTTTGCCGACTTTGAATCTCAGTGGTGTTTTTCTTTTGCTTTCAAGTTTCAATATCCTTTGAACTTTTGAACCATGGTAAATTCCCTCGTGTAAAGCAAATGTTTGCACATCTGCAGATGTACCCTATAATCGGCGATAGATACAGATGCAAAGACTGCGTTGAGCAGATAGGGTATGACCTCTGCAGGGATTGCTACACCACCTCCTCCAAGCTTCCTGGCCGTTTTAATCAGCAGCACACATCTGACCACCAGTTTGAGATAATGAAATCAAACCCTATGCACAATATCATGCTAAGGCTGCTGAATGGACAGCTGCACGAAGTCTCGGCCATCTCGGATGCCCTGAATAACAACAGCTCAGCAAATGAAGTTTCCCCATCTGATGGCACCAGTGAGGATCGAGAACATGTGGCCGATGAACATCTGTCCCCGTCCCAGTCGGGGCCAAACCATGGGGAAAACGAGTGGTCGGCATGAGAAAAGATTTTGACGTCTATTGTGTATGCCTGGCACGGGCAATATGCAGTTTGCTGCTAGGGTTATGTTGTTGGCCGGTTTTCGGGTAATGTTACATTTTTTTCCTTTGTTATCTTTTTGACTCTCTAAATTGGATGATTAATGGAAATGCCCCTGGGGTTCTGCTAATAACGAAAAATGCCCATTTTAAAATTATTAAACCGACCGTGGTTTTTGTTTCTGTGGTGCAAATTCGAGTGGTTTTTGTAATTAATATCTGTACTGAACCTTTCCTTTTATTCTGTGTTTGAAATTTCTAACTGAAACTTCATTTGGGCCTTTCTCGTTAATTTTTTTCGGCTCTCTTCCAGGTCCTAGACGACTGCAAATTTGTGTATGACGAATGGACTGAGCTTTCTGGGATGGATAAGGTATGTAAAGAAGACTACAGTTTGTGTATCTTACATTCTTATACAAGTGTTGTTTGATTCTTTTTAACATTACCTATGACTGAATGTGTATCATTATGATTAACTAAACAGCATCTTTTTATACTTTTAGTCACTGCACCTTGTGGATCTAATAAGGATTAATCATCTCAATTGACATAGAAGTTTGCGTGTATTTTCTTTTTATTATTATTTTTAAATACTGGTGATAGATATCTTATCAGACAAAGTTGAGGATATGTAGTTTTATCGGTTTTGCTATGGAACCATCGAATGACTCGGTTTATGGACATGTCATATCCATTTACAAATGAACATTAGACATTTGTCAGTACATAAAGTTGTGGTATACATAATTGAAATAACGTAGTTTCATTTCGTGTTTTCGTGAAAACAGAATAGCTTGGAAATATTTTTAGAGGTGAACATGGATCTTACAGGGATTATACAAAAATTGTTGCCATTTGCTTAGGGTTAAATAGTATGCAAGATGACCTAATTTTTATATGCTTGTTTAATCACGTTTCTATATTTTATGATAAACACAATTTGTGTGAGGCACTTCTAGATGGCTTGATCGACTCTTCGTGGGGAAAAAAAAAAAATGCACATTTTTACTATTAAATTATTACGTTAGATTTCTTCTAAAATAGGATATTTTTAAATCAAAAATATATTTATGAGAAAATCGTGTTGGTCAATTCAGTAAATCGGTCTTAAAGAAAATCAACTAGTACTTTTTTTTTGTTTATATTAATTATTATGATGTGATATTTGACTAATTAGTTTATAATTAAAAAAATAGTATGTAGTTTATAATTTAGAAACAAAATATATAAAATCATATAATCTTTCATGAGTTAATTTGAACAAAAATAAGGATGCAAACAAGTCAAGTTGAACTAGAAAACCTTATACTCAAGTTTGTGCTCAAATCTTTATCGTGTCCAGCAACAAAAATAAGTCAATAAAAGAGTTCAAATTCAATTCGTTTATTAATATTAACAAGTCAAACTTATATTTTTTTTTTTAAAAAAAAATCGAGCTGTTGAAATATATATAAAATTCGTATTTTTAAGTATAAGGAGAGGTCACCATATGATTCATTTTGTTTAACTTGCGCTATGCACAAATAACATAAAAATAAGGAAAATGCTACAGTCTCATTACAATACTATTATGTCGGGTGTTTTAACCGTTGAATCATCTATTTTATCTAACTACATGTGGATCCAACGATTAAAATACTACCGTAAACATTTCCCTAAAAATAAATAAATGATGGAATAAAACTTCAAACATTGTGCATGTGGGGGAACAGTGCTGCAGCACTGAAGTCCAAATTAAAATGAGTAAATGGGGCTTTTTTTTTTTATTTTCAAAATTTCAATCAAATGACTTTGAAATGCGAGAAATTTCACAATTGGCCCACACCATCTGCACTTTGGGAATGGCACAAAGCTCCATTTTCACCCCTACACATCATTGCCACGTAATTTCATCTCTGGCTTACAAAAAAAAAAAAAAAAATTATATATAATAATCCATGTATCTATATGTCATGAAATTAAGCCAATTCGAAATAGCTAAATAATACGGTTTTGTTAGTGTTTGAATCACTGATTGTTAAAATAATTTCTTCTAATTATGTCCCGCCTTTGGTTGGTATAGACTCATAGGTGAGCATCGGTGCGGTTCGGTCAAAAACCGTCGAACCGCAGTGCACAAAAAAAAAATTGAAAACTGAAAGTTTAAATTCTTTTCACCGAACCGCACCGCTGTAGAAGGAAAAACCAAACCGCATCGAACAGAAATTTTTCGGTTTGGTGCAATTCGATTAACCGAAATTAAAAAAGATAACCACCAATTAATGTTATGTAAGTAACATTATAAAAATTAAGGTGATATTTTATTAAAAAAATAAAAAAAGTGACATTTTATTACGTTCGGTGTGGTTCGGTTAAAACCGCACCCTTCGGACAGAAAACCAAACCGCAGCAAAATACTTGCGTTTTTTCAAAACCCAAACTGCACTGACCGAATAGCTCGGTTCGGTGCGATTTTTCGATTTCGACTCGGTTTTACTCACATAGTACCCTGTGTATAGTGTCATGGAGGATGATAGACCGGACAAATGTGGTTGTATAATTTGAAGTATTTGTACTATTGCACCACGTGTTGTATTGAGTATTAAACTCAATTTAGATACAAAAAAGTCAAGAGTCCAATTTTATTAGTAGAAATCAAGTATAACTTGTCTACTCATTTAAGTTTTCATAAAATGACACACCATAATTTTGAAATTGGTCCTTCCTATTGACAATATTTCAAATTTGTCCTATTGTATTGACCTCCATTAAAATTAGTCATTAAGTTGCATTTTTTTTTGTTGGTCTCTTAATCATTCCAACTAGGATAAACTTATGACGTGGCTAGATTAGAAATGCCATGTCATTTTCATTTAAAATTTGCATTTACATGGGGAAACTAAATAACACAATTCTTAAAGAAATTAAAATTTGACCGGAACATGTTCGTCGGAAAATGTAAAGAGGAGGGAAACATTGGAAAGAAATTGTGGAGGAACAACTGATAAGAGACTCAAAGGTGAGGTTATGGAAGCAGTTGCTTACCCAAAGTATCTGGAGATGTCTTAGGGTTTCACTGAAGTTTGCAGGAATGTCTTGAATTCAGGTAGCTGAGTTGCGGTGATCTTCTAGGTGATCGCCATAAAATATCGGTATGAGATGCTTTAATTTGTGGAAATGTCGAAAGTGGTAAAACGTGGGAAATCGTGGAGACAACGAACTTTTATAGTAGAGTGAACAAGTTAATGGGACATGCAATTAGGGTTGATGGGGGAGAGATCAACGACCTAGGTTGAAAGTCTGTGTAGGGTTTCGAGGTGTCTATGACATTTGCGTTACCCGAGGTAGGCTTACAAAACACATTTAATGCGGAAAAGATGGATTAAAGCGGAAGAAGTTGCATTATTATAGAACAAGGTCAGGCAGCTCATTCTATATAAGGAGGCTAGATGATATAACACCTATAATAGCTTGGTGAACCAGGTAGAAATTTTAGCTCAAGTGAACCTGTCTAGTATAGCTTTTAGCTCGGTAGCAAGGTCTGACTCTGTCAAGGAGCTCGGTATAGCAATTCGAGATACGGGTCAACTCCGATTGTGAGGTAGCTAAGTGAGCTCGACCAAAGGAGGGGTCATTACGACCTGGAGGTCATATAGTAGAGGTTGAATACGCCCTAAGGAATATGAAAGCAGAGCTATGAGGTCGGTGCGATGACCTAAGGACCTGGGAAGTAATGGTAAATAAGGCAATAGAATTATATTAAGATAGTACGTAATATTTCGCTACAAATTAGACAATCTCAGAGACAAGTCATACTAGAAAATGAGGTATAAAGAGATTTATTTCCTCTTAAAGAGGTCACGCAGGCAAGAAGACAACCTCTTTATAAAAGGAAGTTACCGGGTTTTTTTTACTTTTAACGTGCAATACATTATATCCTACTTTACAATTCACGAGTGAGATCTAACTTAAACGTCTGAAATTTTTCCACCGAGACCCATTCTGGCGCGTTTTACAGCACACAAGAACTCAAGTTGAATGATAGTTCATGGTGTTGGTGGTCCAAATTATGTCCGAAGACAATTTGTACATCATTGATGTTCTAGCAGACGAAGCTAAAGTTGCTGGAGCAGACACCGCAGATGATGTCGCGGCCGCCGGGAACAACGTCCAAGGAAGTGTTTGGGGACTTGCAGACTGATGATATTGCAATTAAAGTTGGGGGGCAAAAGAAGAGTTTTGGTAATTAATTTCCAAGTGGAAATTATAGTAATGGTTAGAAAAGCCATGTCATTTATATTCCTGCCACATCATATTGGTATCTATATTACGAATAAAATTGAACCAAAACTGACAAAAATTGCGACTTAATGAACTAGTTTTGATAAGGATCAATACAACAGGTCAGTTTCAAAAAGTGGTCAATAATTTTAAAATTATGCAAATGACACTATCTAAACATACAATTATCTTGGCCACCGCATAATCAATACACACTCACAATGGTTTATATGTATGTTTATGAATATGTAGCCACAACTCCAAATATCTGGTCATTCAATTAGGTGACACCTATTGAGACTATTAAGAATCAAGCTTAAACAAAATGTTGATGAATATGTAGCCACAATTAAAATTCTAAGAAATTGAGGAAAACAGGTGTGGTCCCACGCAGATGGAGCGCACTAAGACGAGAAAAGCTCAGATGAAGCCCAATTAAGGTTCCATCCCAAAACTAATAGTGAAAGGGGAAGTAGCTCATTAGACTTATAAATTAAGCTTATTTTCTATATATAAACATTGTGCGAGAACTCACAAGTGAATATTCGATTACGGCCCCTCACTTGTGAGTCATTCTTAAGAAGCCCAAACCCAAATATGGAGTCAGGTGCCCAAGCCCTACTAAAAACAGGCTGAGTAAAACGGGTACGTCATCGCACAGTCCCAATAGAACCGTCTCTGATGCAAGAAACAAGCCTTGTCC